TCCTCATCTACAGGGTTATCCTCCCATAGGAAGGAGGGTGCTCGTGCCATGAGTGGCTCAAAGAAACCACTCAGCACCAACCCACCCAACCTTTTGCCTACAAATTTCAGTCCACAGACTTGTAGAGAGAAACCACTCTTTCAGCTGGGTGCCCCTAAGGCACCAAAATCCCAAACACCCCTCCCAAAATACACAGGCAGCCCCCTGTAAATACAGCCCAAAATACACCCCACCCAAAATACACCGCAAAATACACAGGCAGCCTCCTGGAAAGACCTATCCCACTGTGAAGGTCCTTCACTGCTGCCTCAGGGTGGCTTTGAAGGAAGAAATGAGGTACCTGTGGGGCTGGGGGAGCCTCGACCACAGCCACAGGCTTCTTGTGGGACAGCAGAGGAGGGGAGGAGGCAGCAGCTGGGCGTTTCATGGGTGGAGGGACTCTGGCTGGAGGCAGAAGGCAAAGAAGGATCAGGCCCAGAGAGGAGCAGTGACTCACACCACCCACGTGGGGGAAGGGGAGGGGAGGGGAAAAAACCAATAAAATTTTAAAAAAAGTCATCTAGCCTCGTGACATAGGATGGGACTTGCTGCTCCTGACACTTTCAGTGACTATTTTAGGTGGAGGAGACAAACAATCTAATAATGGGTTGGTTGCAGGGAGCCTGGCCCTGCTGTGGATCCCTTCCTGTGGCCCAGGGGTATCAGCCTCTCACTGGGATTTAGTTTACTCATCAAATGTTGCTTGGTGTCGTTGTAATCAACTCTCTGAGCAATGCTTAAGGTCTAGAGCACCCCGGGTAGCTGCTGATGTATTGTAGTGACCCCTCAGAGCTCCACAGCTTCTGGGCTGGCAGCAGGTCTTCAACCCTTCCGCAATCCCTTAGATGGCACCCACACACCAGTCCCCTGTGGGAATCCCTGCCAGCATCCCTGGAGAAGTCTATCCCCATGGAAGAAATTTATCTGATGCTGTGGCCAAAGAACAGCAGAGAAGATCTAGAGCCCTCATCTCCACCAGAAGGGATGCCCTGGAAGAGTTGCCTCAGAGCAGCACTCAGCTCAGGCTGCAGTTGCAAGGGCAGATGTGCTGATGTGAGACACTCCACCCTGGCTCCCTTCCCTCTGTCCTCTGCTCACTCAACACTTACTGAGGTGATAAAAATGAGCAGTGGTAAGCAGGATGCCTATCAAGGTTTCTCCCATTTTAGTGGGTTAGAGAAGATCACAAAGGGGCCTGATGAGCATCCAGGGGTGGTGGCCCAACCCAAGTGGCAGGGAAGCAACTCACAGGGGGGGGAAAAGA